CAAAAACGAAAGGCATTTTGAAAAGCTGGAAATTGCGTTAGGGTAAGCAAAGTGTTGCTTTTTCTTGACTTCCTCCATTTCAGGTGTTTGCAGGGATTCAGGAAGAAAATTGTTTTTATTGCCTGCAGCTAGTACTGCTGAGTTATATCAGAACAAGACAATGAGGATGAAGTATGATTTTTGTTTTCTAAGCGTGGATTAAAGAGTTGTTGCTCTTTTCTCCTCCAGCGATGCAGTTCACCATCTAGATTATGCAGTTCTTCTGCAATGACTGTCTCCAGGGTTTCACTGTTCTGGAGATTACCAGAAACTGACAAAAAACAGCCTTCTGAAAAACGGGAAGAATTGCAAAGGACTTTGCAACTTCTTATTTTAATTTCTGGAGAAAGCTGCATTGTCTTTGAAAAAATATTCTGAACCAACTCTCTCCATTCAGAGTAAGAATATTCACTTAAGCATGATCAGAAATAAGCAAAACGTGTCATTTAAGACTGTTAACAGTCTGTCATTGTTAGGAGAAAAAAAAAAGAAGGTAAAGATAGGATGAAACGATGGGGAGGAAGGAAGAGTAACCAAGAACAAAAATTTGAGTAATCCTAAAGAGGACACATTTCCTCAGCAAACTAACAGAGACTGTAACAACATGTTTCTGAGTAAACAATGGGGGTTTTTGTCACCCCACAGTATTTTAATCAGTGATGCACCTTTTTTACATCCTGTAAAGCAGGATGTAAAGAATAAAACGTGAGCGGAGTCCATTAGTCAAACTGTACAGGATTGAAAACAAACTTCAGAGTTCACATGTGAGAATTTATACACACAAACTTGGAAGAAATTTGGCTGCAATTAGACAATATTACAAACAGTATTACTTTGAAGTGTAGTTCTAGCAGGCCCTATCATTTAAAAAAATGTGGTGTGATTCAGAGATATGAATTTGCCTTCCAAGAGGTGTATTCCACCTCGTTCTTCGCTAGGTGCAGGGCCCAGTCAGCCTTCACTGAGCACAGTGTTTTACCTGGAGAAGTCCTGTCTTCAAATCAGCATGGAAGACACTGGTGTTCTCAGCACCATGCTTACAGAGTTCTGGTTGCTGAAGTAAGCAGGCTGAGCCAGTGCTGCACTCACTTTGTGCAGGAGGAAGGGAGGGAGCACCTCCAACTATGGGAAGAGAGAAGAGGTTGTCCTTTTGTCTTTGAAGGGGGACTGGCTTCTTTCCTGCTGTCGCTGTTCAGCCAGGAGCCAGGAGGCCTTGACACTGTCTATTTAAGGCTTTAGGTTGGCCTTACTTCTTATGTGGCTAGCAGTTAAGTCAAGCGTGATCCCCAAGAATTGGATGTGCTGATCTGGCCATGCTGCCACATTGTCTTGCAAAGCTACCTGGCACTGCCTCACGTGGAGGTGGGGGCAGTGTGCTTTTTACAGCCCTGAGCCAAAACTGACCCACTGATCTACCCAGACCTGCCAGGAACACTACTGGGAAGTGTGCCCTGTTCTACAGACATAGCAGTGACGTGCGGGAGTTACGCTTTTCCTATAAGTCCTAGAAATCATCTGCTTTGAAATCATCTGCAAGTGAGTATTCTTTCCTCAACTTCCACCTCTCACCAATGGTTTGCAGGCATTTTCTTTGAATTTTCTTCAGCCCATCTATGTGGACAGATCACCTGTTGGAGTGTATTTTCAGTTCCGTGTCATCTGACAGGAATGCTGCTCACATGCTCTGAGGTGGAGCAAACTGAAGCACTATAAGTGGATGTCTAAAAGTACACTCCTGTGTTGAATTAAAATTCTCACACATGTGCGCCGATTCTTAAAGCTGTGGAATTCTTGTGCTATTATAGGCAGAAAAAGAGAACACCTTTGAAGTCAAAATACTAGGTAGGGCTTACATTTTAACACATCTGTTTTTCCCATTGCCCCTGTCCTTTTAGTTTTAGTGCTCTTACAAGAACACAGAGGCAATTGATTCTGGATTTTAATAAAGGTAGAGTTAACCGATCAGCAACAGGAAAGGGAGAAGAAGCATGAAGATGAAATGGAGCATGAAAAAGCATATAGAAAAGGAGAAACAAAAGGAGCAAAGACTTAAAAATAAGAGAAGGCTTCTGGTGTTCTTATTTGCAGTTCCATCTCTGGAAAAAGGCACTTTTGTCGCACATTCTAGGATGTGTTGAATTTAACAAGGCCGGTTTTGCTTGGAATTAGCCCTCCTGCCTAATCCAGCCTCTTAATCGTTTACATTTTTGTTCAGTTAGATTCTTGTGTTTGTGTACAACCTTGATGTTGTGCAGCAATCCGCTACCCTCCCAAATGCCTGTGGCAAAGAAGCTGTTCCAGTTTAACTCCAGGGTTCTCTTAATCAGAGATTGTCCTCTTGTTCCCATAAATTCTTCCATCTTTTTTATCATCAGAGGCATGTCTCAGCCGATTTGTCACTTTTACATCAATTGCTAATTCCTTGCTATAAAAAGTATTTTCTAGAGGCAAAAAATCAACGGTGCATGCAGGCAGCTTTTCAGTTTGATGGTGTGCAGAAGAGGAGAGTTACCTTGGATCAGCAGGTCGCCTTCTGTTTTCTCCAGGAGCATTACAACCGCTTTCCTGTCACAGTCAGCTCTGTCTGAAAGAGCTGCAAAAGATGAATTTGGCAGACGGGGAGCTGATAGACGTGGTCTCATCAGCACCGAGGAGCAGGGCCTCTGTTCCTGTTGTTTCTGAACGGTGAAAAGAAAGCTGTGTGGTGTCCTGAATCCAACCTATCTAAATATGACAGCAGGTTTTCCAGATGGCAACACTAATTTCTGTGTAACTGCTTTCCTGCCTTTCCTGTGCTAATTCATACTCTTTCAAGGACTCCGTGGTGGGGTGGGAGTGCTGCCACTGTTATCGGTCAGAACAACTAATTACTTAATAGATGGGAGTGCTCCATAGCAGACAGGCTGCAGCATAATGTCCACTGATAGTCAGTATCTACTGCCATGTGGGGGTTAAAGTTTATATCTGTAGTGTGGAATTGGCCCAATTGTAAAACTGAGAAAATGATCTGTGTGCAGGAAAGCTGTAAGGAAACTGTAGCCCACAGCAGGAGCAACTTGTTCTGGTTATCAGAAGAATGTGCTGACACTGAGACTTTTGACCAGGAGTAGCACCTGTGTAGTGCAAGAGTGGGCCTTAAATGGCTAGCTTTCTTCAAACAGATATGCTGTGTGTATTAGTAGCCCTCCATCTGAGAGGACTTTCAATGTAATTTTATTTTTTTAATTACAGCAGTGTTACCCAAACCATTATATGATTTCCTGTGTGGGGTTAAAAAAAGTAAGCATGGAATGTGACACAGGGCTGCTTAAAGAGCAGGAACACTGGTTGGGGGTGAGAGAAAATGGACAAAATTTCAGATCTTTACAGTTCGGAGACAGATGCACTGGAGTGTTCAGGCACAAATTAATTCTGTCCACAGAAATTAATGGAAACTTTTTTTTTTTAAATTAAAAATTGAAAAATTGAAGCGAGATTGCACTGATTTTTGAGAAAATGTTTTAAAACTGAAACTGTTGATGAGCAGCAATAAATTGTACTTTGCCTGTATTTCTAATCTTATTTTTCTCGTCCTTTTTCAAAAGGGGAAAAGATTTTTCCATTTGAAACTTAAGTATTTTAACTTTCAGTATGAGCCAACAGTAATACTTCTTAGGTTTGGGGGTTTTTTTTTACCACTTTTGGTTTTACAGAGCTGTGAGCAGTTGTTAACAGGTTTATTAAACTTGAATAGTATCTGTTTCACAGGAAAATTGAAATGAGACAAAATAGTATCTGTCTATATGTTTCTGAGCTCGAGGCTGATAGGCAATGCCTTATTTTTTAATCATGTGAATTGTTTTAATTCTTTGAATTACTCTTGTATCTCTAGAGAGCCTGTGTTCTGAACTCAGTCTGACAATTACTTCTTTCCTCCTCTGCTGACTTTCAGGGATGGTAAAGGAAGATGCTGCTGACTTGGGCTGAAGGACAAATGCTGTGGTGGATGCAATAGGTTTGGAAGAACCGGACAGAAGTAGAGCAGAAAGGGAAAGGAAGGTTTGAGTAAGGCGTTTTGTATGGGTATTAGGAACTGCTCTTGCAAAAGGGAGAGCAAGGCTGAATGAGCATCCAGGAGCAAGGTTGCTAGGGTCTGTGGGCAATGAGTTGTGGAATGTGGACACTGGACAATCATTGAGCATGAGAAAGAGTCTGCAAAGTGGAAACTGGTGCAGGACGCAGAATGAGGAAAGAACAGTAATAAGGAGGAAGGGCAGAATGAGAGATGGCAAGAAGCTGAGGAAATGGGGGAAAAGCAGTTGAGTTTCTAGACGAAAGAGGTACACAGCTGGACTTAGTAGAGCATGCAGCATTCCGGGATCTACAAGGTAGCCCAAGTCCCAGACTTTGCAATTCCTTCACAAGGGACGTGGGGGAGAAGGGAAAGGCCAGAAAATGCTTCCAGTCTTCTCAGCTGTTAGCACTGACTGCAGCACGTGTACTTGATATAACAGTACAGTTTGTCATTTCCTCTCACAGTGTTTAGATTTGGCTTTACTTATTGGAAAGCTTCCATCCATCAAACACTGCTCAACAGAATGTGCGTTTCATTACCCTATTATTGCAGCATATAAAACGTGACTACTTACTGCTACTTTTACTCCCTTAGTTCAGGTAGCAAACATCTATCCACTGCTACAAGCTTCAGCTAGGCTAATAAGTAGTGTGGGCACCAGCACTGTGGTTATTTTTCTGGATTTTTTTGCTGGGGTAGATTTGCTTGCTTTGATTTTAATCAGACTAAGAGAACACAGATTTGCGAAGTAAAGCGTTTGTACATATTTCTGACAGACATTTCATAGCCAGATATAAAGTTGCTTTTACTATCCCAGTTCAACTTCCTTATGCATACACCTGTAGAGACGCCATTTGCGTGAACAGACTTCTGATCCTTGTAAGATGGACAAAACGTACGATGTCAATATGTATTAAAACACATTTATTGTCTCGTGAGTGGCAGTGTTTATTGTATGCTTCATGACCCTCACCTGAACCCTTAAGACAACAATTTAATTTACTCTTGGGAGATTGTATGGCCCATCTCACTGTACTACTGAAGTGCTTCACAAATACTTAACTTCTCACTAGAGCCACAGATAATAATCTGGAGTCATTCCTAAATTGGAACACATTCTAAACTATAGGAAACGCAAGGAAAAACCTCCTTCCACTTATCTTAGCTACTTAATAGGAAATGCTTCTTACTTTAACTTTTCAAAATACTGCATGTGTAGTCTCAGTGGACTTTAGTTACAGGTTTTGTATACACAGTACTTAACAAATCAAATGCAAATCTAAAGTAAGAGTCAGAAAAGAAATTATGTATGACTGGAGGTCACCTGGGGAGCACTGGGATTAAACATCACAAAATCACTGAATCATAGAATGGGTTTGGTTGGAAAGGACCTGAAAGCCCATCCAGTTCCTGACAAGGGCAGGATTTCCACCCGCTAGTTCAGGCTGCCCAGGATCTCATTCATGCTAGCAATGAATGCCCCCATGGGTGGGACATCCACAAATTCTGGGCAGCCTGTTCCAGCACCTCACTCCTCTCAATGAAAAATTTCCCCTTGACATCTAATCTAAATGTCTCCTCTTTTAGTTTATAATGATTCCTCATTGTCCTGTCCCTATTTACTTGTCAAAAAAAGTGGATTTCCCTCCTGCCTGTAAGCTCCCTTTAAGTACTGGAAGGCCACAATGAGGTCTCCCTGGAGCCTTCTTTTCCCCAGGCTGAACAAGTCCAGCTGCCTCAGCCTGTATTTGTAGGAGAGGTGTTCCAGCTCTCTGATATCTTCATTTCCCTCCTCTGGACCCATTCCAAAAATCTCCACGTTTTTCTTGTGCCCCAGACCTGGACACAGTACTCCAGATGGATCTACTGGGGGCAAAGCAGAAGAAGACAATTGTCTCCCTCACCCTGCCAGCCACCCCTCTTTGATGAAGTCCAGAGTACTGTTAGCCGTTCAGGCTGCGAGTATATGCTGCTGGTTCATGTTGTTTTTCGTCAACCAGGACCCTTATGTTATTCTTGGTGGAGCTGCTCTCAAGGAGTTCTTTTCCCACTCAATACACACATCTGGAATTTCCCTGACCTAAGTGCAGTACCTTGTTGAATCTCATTAGGTTAACCTTTTGAGTTTGCTTAGGTCCCTTTTGATGGTATCCCTTCCTTCTGTCGTATCAACAGCACCACTCAGCTTAGTGACTCTGCAAACTTGCTGAAGGTGCACACAATCCCATCGTTTATGTCCATGATAAAGAGTACTGGTCCCAAGACAAACCCCTGGGGGACATTACTTGTCACCAGCCTCTACCTGGACATAGAGCCATTGACCATAAGGTTACTCAGCATCATATAAGAGGTCACTGAGGGGGAGCAGGGACTGAATTTCAAGATCAGTGCGATGGTATAAGCCATTTATAAAATTTATCTTCCCTTCCCTTGTAATATTCGCCGTGTTTGTCACAGAATTTGGAGGAGTGAGAGAGTAGTCCACCAAAGTCTGATATATGTATTTCAGCACTGTCCCTCCTCTTGTAGTGTATAAGGCCAGAAACTCCACTAAGTCATCTAGCATTTATCCCCTTAGATGGAAATACAGTATCAGCAATTATACCATGGCCTGTATTGGTGATGTATCTACATCAAGTGCATATTCCTAGTAAAGTGTTCAATAAAGCTATAATCTGGACCATTAGAAATGCTGCTGCTTGCTTACACTAATTTACAACTCTTCCATCTTTTCCCCCTCTATTCAGGATATCCTTTTGCCTTGTTCCAGCGCTATTTCCTCTTCCAGAAGGAGACCTACCTCGTTCATCTCTACAATGTGTTCACAGGACTCTCAATTGCTTACTTCAATTTTGGTAAGATGAGCTTTGGAAGAGAGAGCTACTAGGCCCAGAGATTGCTGCAGTTTGGGAGGACCTGCAGTGGGAAAATCTCATTTTTGCTTCGTCTCTCTCTCTCTACAGGGATGCAGTTCTTTCATTCACTGCTATGTGTTCTAATACAGTTTCTCATCCTGAGACTTATGGGTCGCACAGTCACTGCCATCTTCACCACGTTTGTCTTTCAGATGGTAAAATTCTCTTTCTTACTGCATCACAGAATCATAGAATCATAGTATGGGATGGGTTAAAAAAGAACCTCAAACATCATTCAGCCCCCCTGCTCTGTGCAGGGTGGCCAACCAGCAGACCAGGCTGCCCAGAGCCACATCCAGCCTGGCCTTGAATGCCTCCAGGGATGGGGCATCCACAGCCTCCTTGGGCAACCTGTTCCAGTGTGTCACCACCTTCTGTGTGATAAACTTCCTCCTAAGGAAGTTTTATGTCAGTTTGCATCAGTTTGTAGAAAGGGCTTTCTGTTCATTTTTGCAGTTCTCAGTAGCAAATATAGGTGGAAAAATGAAAACAGATCAAAAACTGCTGGAGGTTTGCTTTAAATAACCCAAATAATTATTTCTTTCAGACGTACCTTATGGCTGGCTATTACTTCACAGCCACAGAGCACTATGACATCAAGTGGACAATGCCACATTGTGTCTTGACTCTCAAGTTAATTGGTAAGCAATGCTACCTTGTTATATTTTGCATTCTGTAAGCCATGCCTCAGGGAAGAGGACTGCTTGCTTAGCCCAAATAGTCCATCATAAATCTTCAAATGATTGTTTCTCATCTCCAGGCTTGGCCATTGATTACTATGATGGAGGAAAAGATCTGGTGAGTAGAACACAAATACACTTCCCTTCCTCTTGTTTGCTATTCCAGTGATCTAGAAGACACAAAATCAGGTTCAAAGGATGTAAGTTAGTAAGCTGCATTCATTGTTTGGCAAAAGCCAGATCTGAGAGAGGATTATCTGTGAATATCTGAGAGCACTGAATTCCAGAGTGGAAAAAAATAATTTGGAACAGAAACTGTAGCAATTACAGAGGGGAAAAAGTTGCTTCAGCACTGAATTGTGTCAAAATATTATTCTGCCCCCTTCCAAATTCCTCACCATCTGCTTTCCCCAAATCTGTTGCTTTAGATTCCCCATCTCCAATGCTCTGTGTCTTGTGGGTAGTATTCCCTTAATGTGGAAACCATCAGCACTGGATCTCAGTTCCCATCTTCCTTTCTTTTGTTGAGTCATGTCATATCTTCTTGGATTTTTGCCATTTGTTCTGGCCCTGTTATTAGAGAAGATTACATAGTGACAGAAGTCACACAGCACAGTGTGTGGAAGAGGACAGAACACTTATTACAGTCTCTTAATACTACTTCAGGTGTCTTTGTTTCTCACCTCCTGTACAGGCCGATCCAGCATTCAGTGTCCATGCAGTCATCACAAACTGCAAGAAAAAAAATGTTCATCTGAAATCTCTTAAGCAGAAGTTTCAAGTATTTGAAGACATTAAATTCTTGCATCAAGAAGTAGGAACTGTAGGACAGCATGGTCTGGGTACATACTGTTGCAGTCAGGGATTGGTAATGGTCAGATACAGAGCTTTTACTGTGCATCTGTGCTGGCAGGGATGCATGTTAACAGATTTCTTCCTTGTTTTGAGCTTTTTTGGGAGTATAGATCTATGCTGTTTGGAGGGACTGGAGATAGTGATAGCAATGAGGAGAGGAATGAAGTACTAAGTTAAAAGTTCCCTGCATGTGGAGAGTAAGAGCTTAGACCATAAAGGAGATGCACTGAAACATAACATCCAGAGCTAAGCATGACAACCCTTAGGATGATGTTAATCCAATCCCTTTGGTGCAGGAGTTCCTGACCCCTGAGCAGCGTCGATTTGCTGTCCGGGGAGTTCCTACCTTGCTGGAGGTCTCAGGATTCTCCTATTTCTATGGTGCCTTCATGGTGGGGCCTCAGTTCTCCATGACAGACTATCAGAAACTGGCAAGGGGTGAGATGACTGACGTTCAAGGCCAGAGACCCAATAGGTAATGAGATCCACTTAGCTCCTTGCTTTCCTAAGATCCCAGAATGCTGAATCCTCCATGCATTCCCTGCAGCAGAGCGTGTTCTTACCTGGACACTGAAATACTGTGACTAAAAGTGATTTATAAGAGAAGGCAGCCATTCAGAGGGTGCTCATAAACTCTACATAATTTCCTAGCATTGTTCAGGGGCCAAAACATTAACATTTGGCTTGTTTAGTACAGACTCAATTCTGACCTGGAATCCGGTCAGCACCCCAGCTTCCAAGTAGAGGCATCTGCTGCAGTGGAATGTGGTAACCCCTGTCACCGTCTCCCCAAACTCCTCATTTCCACTTCTGTTTTTAAACAGGGCTTTTCCTTGACCTTCGTATTTTTCTTTCTCAGTTTTGTGCCTGCTCTCAAGCGCCTGAGTTTGGGTCTCTTATTTCTAGTGACCTATACCTTGTCAAGCCCATACATCTCTGATGAATACCTCATCTCAGATGATTACATGGTATGTATATATTTGACAGTTCTGATACGTGCAAGAATTCTACTTCTCTGGAGGGCACTGGATCTACAGGAGTAGAGGAAGGCCATTGTGCTTTTTAGGTTTGCCTCAATTCATAGTCAATAAGTCAGCAACTAGTGCTATGCCTTTTACTAATGGAGAATTCATCTTGGATAGTACAGCTGTTTTTGGAATCCTAATGTGTATTTTGTTACTTTTTAGTAACTGTTTAACCATTACACACAAAGAACTCTGCGGTAGTAGTTTCCAAGGCTTTTTAAAATTTGAAGATGGAGGTTCATTGTGTAGACTCTATTAGGTGAGCTATCCTTGAGTACAGGCTAGCTTTGAAAGAAAAACTTGATCTGCTTCTCTCAACAGTGTATTTTGTGTAGAGGGATGCAGCAGCAGATTCTCCAGGTTGACTCATTTGAATTAAAAATTTACAGAGTCTTTGGGGTTCTTTGAAAACTCCTAACAAGCAATTCCAATCTGCAGATTATAGAATTAATATTCTATATTCTCAGAGTTGGAAGGGACCATTAAAGATCATCTAGTCCAACTCCCCTGCAAGGAACAGGGACGTCAGTCCCTGTCCATTCTTTCTGTACCAGTGTGAATAAATGAGGGTATCCATTCCCACAGTGATTATGCTAATTCCAGACTACGTGTGTCGGTACAGTCAAATATCACCAAGGGAAGTAAAAAGGTGTATGGATTCATATAACCCTGTAGCCTGCAAGTCCAGTTTATTTAGTGTCGCAACATACTGATTAGATTAATATGAAAGACAGTAATGAGATCTCAACTATCCACCTTTTATATAGCCAGAACTCATTCATTTTCATGTTTAATTTGCTCTATCTCTGCAGGAGAAGCCTTTCTGGTTCCGCTGTGGTTACATACTGGTCTGGGGCAAAATTATACTCTACAAATACGTAACTTGCTGGCTTGTTACGGTGAGTCAGAAGTATTTCTAGAAACAAGACAAATGAACAAAGTTCGCACCTCTGAAGTTACAAAGTATGCTTTTGGTTGGACTTAGAAATTCAAGTATCTGGGTATCAATGCAGATCAGTGTAGTTTGCTCTAAGTAAAGCAAGGGTTAACTAATCAAAAAGAGAAGATTTTAACCCATTTTCTCCATCTGCAGTGGTACTGTCCAGTGAGCACAGAATCAGAATGTCCCCAGCTCTGTCTTTCAGGAAAAAAAAAAGAAAAAAAAGTGATGTGTTTTTATTATCCTTCCTCTGTCTTTTTCTGTAGGAAGGTGTCTGCATCCTTGTTGGTCTAGGGTACAATGGGACTGACCAGAGTGGAAAACCTATGTGGGATGCCTGTGCCAATATGAAGGTCTGGCTGTATGAGACAACACCTTTGTTCACAGGGACCATTGCTTCTTTCAACACCAACACCAATGCTTGGGTGGCCCGGTGAGCAGGAAAAATTTCTACTTCTGTAATGTCAGTAGTACCTATGTCAACAGAACCAAGATCATAAGTTGAGAAGGGAGCACTCAGCATCTGCTAGTTCTCAGTTCTCACCCTACTCCTATTTGAAACAGCTTACTGAGTTGGGTAGATCTTTGAATCCAACTTAAAAAGGCAGTTCTTTGTTAAGAGGCAGGAAGTTGAAAATGGCAAAAGCTGGAGGGGGGGTGCTAGAATGGAACTACAGTGGGCTCTCTAGCCTTCTTGGTCAAACAGTTGCAGAACAGGTGAAACAGTTGCCACACTGGTCTAGTGGCTGATGCAGTTTGGCAGCTGTTTCCTGCTTCTTGATGCCTCCTATGCAATGACACAGCTTTTTGGTTCAGATCTTGCTGGACCACAACTGAATTGTAAAATATCCTCATTTCTGTGAGCGTTGTCAGAAGGACCACTTATCCCCACTAGCTGGCATTTAAGATAAAGACTGAAGTGTAAGTTGCCCCCAATTTCTGAGGGCAACTACTGTTTAGCTGTTTCTGTTACCACAGGGAAACGTGAAGACACGGTCCCCTGGGCCTTACATCTCTGACATGGAGAGAGAAGGATAAACAGTGTACTAGAAGCACTTTGTTTCTACTCTGCTCTAGCTACATCTTCAAGCGCCTGAAGTTCCTGGGTAACAAACTGCTCTCACAGGCACTGGCCCTGTTCTTCCTGGCTATTTGGCATGGACTACACTCTGGCTACCTGGTGTGCTTTCAAATGGAGCTGCTTATAGTCATCGTTGAAAAACAGGTGCGCCTTGTCAGACTCAGCAGAATGAGGTCACCTGCGTTAACCTTTCCCCTTGAGTCCAGAAACTCCACACTGAAGGGTTTAATAACTGCTCACTTAGAAATTGGTGTTCACAATGGTACTGTTCTGGTCAAAGGTTCAGTAAGTTCCTAGCTTAACACTGGCAAGCCATAGCTTTCTTCCCATCAGCTTTTACAGTACAACTAGCACGTGAGCATATTGCAACTGAAGTGCTTGCCAGTTGGGAAGGTTGGAAGACAAGCACGTGAGAATGCCTCTGCTAAATCTCTGATAGTGAAAGAAAAATATTCCATATTTAGCCTTTTCTTTTTTGATTAAAACTTCAAGAATAGGGTACTTAGTTTTTTGTTGCCGGTTACCAAAGTTAATTAACAAGGATGGTCTGGTTGCAGAGCCTACAGACACAACCGTTAAGACACCCAACTGAGAAGAGCTTTATTTTTCTTTACATTAGGTTATAAACCTTGTTCGGGACAGTCCTACTTTAAGCACTTTGGCCTCCATCACTGCCTTGCAGCCTATTTTCTATGTGCTACAGCAGACTAACCACTGGATGTTTATGGGTTATTCTCTGGTGCCATTTTGCCTTTTCACCTGGGACAAATGGATGAAGGTATTTATTAACCTTAAACACACAATCTATGCAACCAGTCCCTTTTACCCCTGTTGCCCTCTCATGTGGTCTTAGCTGAAGTCTGCTGCTGACCCTTAGCCCCTTCTCTTTGCAGGTGTACAAGTCTATTTATTTCCTTGGCCACGTGTTGTTTTTCACATTACTACTGGTGTTGCCTTATATTCGCAAATTACTTGTGCCACGAAAAGAAAAGCTAAAAAAAGCAGAATAACAGCCAACAGGTAAGGTTGTGCCACCTTCAGGGACACCTCGCAGGAATCCCACACTGGGACGAGGCGGTGAAGTGAAACAGCAGCGTTACAGCCCTGAAACAAGACAACTGGAACAAGTCTAATAGCTCTTTCTTTTTCAGATTGTACCACCCATGCATTTGTAGGAGTTGATTTAACACTCCAGAAGCAAAGCACCACCTGCCAAGTTTGCTGTGTTGAAGTATGACTTTTTTTTTCAACGTGAGGAGGGGGAAAAAGAGAAAGCACAGGGTCAAAGACCCAAAAGGAGGGGAATGGAGTTGTCTCCCTCCAGACCCTCCACTTTCTGTATGTTGCCTTATCTCTCTGCCGCCCTCCAGTGGACACTCTCGTCTCTCTGCTGATATCAGATGATTGTAAAACACTCAACACGGGCACTGTATTGGAATGGAGCTACCCTCTGACTTTTCTACGTTTGTCATCCAAGATAAAGTTGCTCCTGTTCTTTTTTCATATCTGCTTCAGCTCATTTCCTCCAGGGTGCATCAGTGTGGGAGTCATGAGCAGTCACACACTACAGCGAAAGAGCTGCTGGGCCCAGCTAAGAACTTTGGTTCCACAACAAATTTGGATTTACTATCAAGGGTGATATCCACGCTGTTCATTTACAAAAAATTAAGTACAAAACACAGTCTTATGAAAAGTTACCTTTAATAGGAGGAAAAAAGGTTGGTGGGGCACCTCCATGTAAAGTTGCATTGCTCCAGGAGCTACAAAGAAGAAACTGAAGCTTTTCCTTTTCAGGAGCCCAAAGCTGCACCAGGTCCACAAAGAACTAAAAAAAGCCTCTCCAGAATCTGGAGTCACTGTATAGCAGTCCATCATGACAGCAGCAGAGACAGAAGTTCATACTACTCCCCAGGCTTCCTCAAAGGCAGTAGTAATTTTAGCACATGTGAGGGCAGCAGAGAGGGGATAGTTGCTGATAGAGATCATCTTTTCTGTATAGTCCACATTGACCTGGGGGGAGAAAGAAGAGGAAAATACATATCTGACTGTATATCAAGCTGCACACTATCACTTAATCCCATCTTCTTTCATCCGTTTCAGAGGTACATCATTGCTCCTATATGACCATGGTTCATCCAAGACTTAGCATTGCCACGTTAAAGCTCCTCAAAGCAATTGATAGCCCTCTCTTCAGTGAAAGGCCCCAGTATCACAGAGCTGGGCAGTTTCTTAGCAGGACTATAGCAGAGAAGGGGTTGCAGGAAAAGCTCCCAAAGAATAGAGAAGTTTAAAAAAACAAACAAACAAACAAAAAAACCTCAAAAATGGCACTAAAACCTACAATCATAAATATATTTACAACTTAAGTAAAAAGGCTACATGCACTTACTGAACCGTGGGCAAAAGCTCCCACAACAATAGTTACTGGCTCTGCTGTAGGAACCAGTTCACGCAGATCTGTCACATTTGGAACTGCAAAAGAGGTACCTATCTTCATACAGCCCACAGGTAGATGGTCACTGACTGGATTTTTAATAACCTACAGAAAAAAAAAAAATTAATAGCAGTGCAGAGATAAGAGGCTCTGTCAGATAGACAAGTCCACAATATATACTGCACTCAAAGCAAATACATTACTGGCTGCAAAGAGGAATCTTGCACCATTACCTGTGAACAGTGAACGACTGCTTACCTTCAACAATTTCTGAGGACCATCAGCTGCTCGAACGCTAAGCTTATGCAGCAACTGAACTGACAAAAGAGAAGAACATTAGTTAAGCAGTCTGTTCTCTTGCTGGAGGAAGCACATTCTCTGCCTGCTGGTGAGAGCTCAACTAGAAAGAACTTCAGAGTTCCCAGCATCTTCTAAAGAAGTTTAAAAAAACAAACAAACAAACAAAAAAAAACACTGATCAGAGAATTATTTTGCCATTAGCATACTCTCATGCAGGCAACTCCCTGCTGTACTAGGAAGTATGGTATGTATTGCGAGTATGTGGCTGGGAATTCACAAAAAGAAACTTTCATTTCCCTTCTCTTTTTTTTTTTTTTTTTTTGAGTCAGTGTAACTTCTTAATTTTTCACACAACTCTTCTGCTCCTAACCACCACCCCACATAATTCTGTAGCCAGTACAAAGCATGAATCGCTTACCCATAAGACCACAGAATCGATCAAACGTTCTTGGGATCCTGGTCTGAGGATTAACTTCAATTAAAACATTCTTTTGGGTATGGATGTAAACTTGCAGAAGACCAGCCCGATTCAGAGGGCTATCCATAAGCATGAGAAGACTCTGAAACAAGACAAAACAAAAATGTAGTAGAGGAAATTGAAAAGGTGCAAGGGAGGGATCTTGGAAAAGACTCCATGACTGCATACGTGACAAGAGACAGAGTGGCCACACAAGTACTCCTGTTATGCTGAGAAACAAGCAATCCCATACACAAATAAATACAAACACACGTTATTAAGCACAAGTATGGTGGGTGAAGCTAACTTCATTCCCGCCCTAGGGCCATAAGACGATACCCCACACTCCAGGGGCACTATCCTGCAGCAAGTGCCACACCGGCATGGCCCCACACGCCCTAGGGCAGTCCATGCTGCCAGTACCTAGGCGGTACCTGGTGGGTGATGTCGGGCCGCACCTCTCTGGGGTCCCGGCCGCTCCGCAGCAGCAGCGCCTTATGCTTGTCGCAATTAAGGAGTTCGAACGTCTTCCCCACCTAAGGCCAAAGCACGGACAGTTTGACAACAGAAACCGCGGAGTATCCCCCGGCCCGACCCCCTCCGTCCGCACCTTCACTGTCTCTAGGCTCGCCCCTTCCAGCACCACCAGAAGCCGTCGCTGTCCGCGGACGCGCTTAGCCTCTAACAAAGCATCATCCTCCTCCTGCTCCTTCTCCCCACGCGGCCGCCTGGGCGCCGCCATTTTGTCCGAGCCGCACAACGCAGCGTCACCACCGCGAGCGCCGCCAATGGCCGCCGCAGCCGCCCAAGATGGCACCCTTCCCCTCCCTCCCCCTGGGACCACTTCCGGAGCGCGGCGGAAGGCAGCGGCAGCTTCCGGTGTCCTTCCCGGCGGGGCGCGCGGCACGGCGCGGCCATGGCGCAGAGCCTGAAGGACCTGGCGGGGCGGCTGCCGGCTGGGCCGCGTGGCGTCGGCACCGCCCTCAAGCTGCTGCTGGGCGCCGGCGCCCTGGCCTATGGAGTCCGCGAGTCCGTTTTCATCGGTGAGTGCTCCCCGGCCCGCGCCCCGTTTTTCCGTGCCCCCCGCACCCCCCCACTCTCGCTGACCGCGCCGTTTCTCCTCTCAGTGGAAGGCGGGCAGCGGGCCATCTTCTTCAACCGCATTGGCGGCGTGCAGCAGGACACTATCCTTGCTGAGGGGCTGCACTTCAGGTAGGACCTACCCCCCTCCTCCCAGTCCGGGCGCCCGTGCGGCCTCCCCTGATGTAGGCGTCCCGATCCTTCGCAGGATTCCCTGGTTCCAGTACCCCATCATCTATGATATCCGTGCCCGGCCGCGGAAAATTTCCTCCCCTACAGGCTCCAAAGGTAAGAGCGGATCCCGGCGGGGCCTGTGGGGTGGGAGAGCTGGAGCCGGCCCTGCTCACGTCTCTCCCTTCAGACCTGCAGATGGTGAACATCTCGCTGCGCGTCCTCACCCGCCCCAATGCCGCAGAGCTGCCCAGCATGTACCAGCGCCTGGGCCTGGACTACGAGGAGCGGGTCCTGCCCTCCATCGTCAACGAGGTGCTCAAGAGCGTGGTGGCCAAATTCAATGCCTCGCAGCTCATCACACAGAGAGCCCAGGTGACCCTTCCTGAGGGAGCTTCTGCTCAGATTGCAAAGGACATTTAAATTGTGCACATGGGGAACATTAAAAGGGGTGGAAGATGCATATCTGCTGGCAGAAAGGGTATGAACTGTATTCTGCTTGTGGTTTGATTCTGATACAGTTGCAGAAGCTGTACCGCCAGCTTTTGAGAGGAGCGTTGGTTTCATGATGTGTAGAATGCAAAATGTAATGTAATAATGGGGGAGGGAGAGCTAATGTAAATCATAGTGAGCATGTAGCACTGGATCTGTCTTAAAGTGATAATCTGACCTTTTGTGGGTATCAAGGGAGATGTCAAAACAAACTGAACAGTTTGAGTGGAGCTGAAATGAGAAGCAGGTCAGAAGTTAGCAGAGTGGTAAGTGTTTGGTGATAGATGCTACAGAATATTGTGAATATTTCTGTTTAGAGAAAGGTTAGGGGGGAACCTGGAGGGGTTGCAAAATTATAAAAATTACTAACTTTTAAAAGCCTTTACGTGTAAGTTTATCTTTTAATAATTTGAGCTCCATGGATTCTGAGAGTATATTGGGGAAGAGGAGGCTCAGGGAAGACCTTATTGCTCTCTATAACTACCTGAAGGAAGATTGTAGGGAGCTGGGGGTTGGCCTCTTCTCTCATGTAACTGGTGATAGGACCAGAGGGAATGGCTTCAAGCTGTGCCAGAGGATATGTAAGCTGGATGTTAGGAAATACTCCCTCTCTGAAAGAGTGGTCAGGCACTGGAATGGGCTGCCCAGGGATGTGGTGGAGTCACCGACCCTGGAGGTGTTCAAGGAACGTTTGGATTTTGTGTTGAAGGACATGGTTTAGTGAGAACTATTGGTGATAGGTGGGTGGTTGGACTGGATGATCTTGGAGGCCTTTTCCAAACTCGGTGATTGTGTGATCTGCCACTTATCCTAAATGAGGGAGAGTGGAGTTGCTGATTTTCTTTTAAAATGCTTTGGAGAAGTTCCTGCATGAGACTGCTGAAGAGAAAATGCAAAGTATCTCTAACTTGTTTAGAATCCATGACAGAAAAAAAAAGCAAATAACAGAAATAAATGTCCAGGTTTTATTTTAGGAATTGGTCAGTAACGGGAACATCAGGGTTATGAAAAACATAAAAAGCTGCCTGGTGTGCACTGAGGAGACAACTTAATGTGTTAGATCTTGTATAACATGAATGAATAGAAAAGGAGGGTGTGGCAGCAAAGAAGCAGTATCTGTGCATTGTTTATGTTTATCAGAAGCAGAGGACCGTGGGGTAACTGTGAGACTTCTGAACCAAGTGAGTTAAATTGTGTTTAGCAGTCTTTACTGTAAAGTGATATGTATGAATCTATGTATGAATCTTCTGAATCTAAATATGGAGCATTTAGATTCAGAAGGAAAGAAAGTGACTCCTTGTAAGTTACGTGCTTGCAATTCACTCGATGAAGGGTTGAGGAAAAACTCAAATTCCAAAAGGTAGAAAATTCAAAATGCAAGAGAAAATACTTACTCCAAAACAAACATGGCAACTGTGGAACTACGTATGATAGGATGTGGAAGGTAAAAAAAATTTTAAAAAAAAGCTTCAATAAGTTGGCTTTTTTTCTAGTGCTAATTGTGTAGCATTGTTAAGGAATTATAAATAGCTGTAATTAAGTTTTGAAATGCTACACATATAGCTCTGAATATGGAGAGTGAGTTAGTGGTGATAGATTCAGAGGACAGGCATTAATGTCCAAGCTTTGTTTTAGATATTGTCTCTCTGGCGTGCTGTGGTTGAACTGAAGAGCAGTTGTGCTTCAGTATTGTAGTGCACAGCAAGTGAGGAGCAGCCTGTGTGAAGTGCTGTTGCTGTGCTTGTGTTTCAGGTGTCTCTGCTCATTAGGCGAGAACTCACAGAGAGAGCCAAGGATTTCAGCCTCATCCTGGATGATGTGGCTATCACAGAGCTGAGTTTCAGTCGTGAATACACAGCGGCCGTGGAGGCCAAGCAAGTGGGTGAGTGCAATTTATGCCTTGAAAGGGTGGGCTGCTTTTCCCTTTTTATTGTATTAATAAGCAAGGAAGCAAATCTGAGCTAGCGTGTCAATATTTTTGCATTGATACAATTTCAGGGTTACAGGCCCCAGCTTCCTTAGTAGTGGAGCTAACTAGATTATTCCAAGTATTAGCAGAAAACTTCGGGCCATAGCTAGTGGAATGGGTCATGAATGGGAACTTCCCTACTACTTCCTATGGGAAGTAGTACTTCCCATTATTATACTTAGAAGTTGTGGTTTTATTACAAAAAAACAGTGGCAAAATTATGCATTTCTTTCTTGTGGATGTGGCCCTAGAATACTGTCAGTTCTTACAGAAGCATGAGTTTCCCAGGCCTCAGCCATAGAGTCGTGGCAGAGGAGTCAAGAGATGGGATCTGCTTTCAGTGCTTTTGTCCATTCTCTCTGCAGCTCAGCAGGAGGCACAGCGTGCACAGTTCCTGGTGGAGAAGGCCAAGCAGGAGCAGAAGCAGAAGATTGTTCAGGCTGAAGGAGAAGCTACAGCTGCTAAGATGATATCCTGCTTTGGGGTGTTTTGTGGGATGTGGCTTGTGAGCTTGACAGGCCTTGGAATTTGTTGCATGGATTCATGTTTAGCAGACTTTGAGGAGATGGTAGCCTCAAGTAGGTCTCGGGTTTGTTTTTCCCTGCAGTTTGTTGGAGTGAGGATTAAATGCAGTTACTTGTCTGAGGTTACAGATCAGGGCAGAAGACACCGCGAGCCTTTGCTCCCTGTTGTAAGATGTAATTACTGTTTGCTGTGTGGGGCAATAACGTTGTACTTGGAATTTTTACATTTGGAAACGTAAAAATGTGCTTGCCTAGAGGCCCAAATTAGTGGGGTAGCAGTGTTTTGGTTTTTTTTCCCTTTGAGAATTTGCTGATACGTGTTCATATATTTGTGTGAATTCCTTAGGAGGAATTAATTGAAGGCAGTGAGTTTCAATTACCAGGCTTTTTTCCATAACTGTACCCTGCACCTCGGTGAAGCTCTGAGCAGGAATCCAGGCTACATCAAACTACGTAAGATACGAGCTGCTCAGAACATCTCAAAAACGGTGAGCAGGAGAGCAGGGAACTTCCATGTTTCTTCTGCAGTTGCTCTCTCCTTCTAGCCCGGTGGCCGTATGATGAATTTAAGGCGAATGTGACCTGCCCTGTCCTGATCTTTGTCCCAGCTCTGCTCTTTTTGTGATCAAATAGATCTAAAGATTTAGTTAGCAGTGATCGGCCACTATATGCAAGGCTAGGAGTTTATGCCCTTCATATGACAAGGCCAGATCCAAATCAGATCTCATCACCCTCCCTCAGCTGCAGCCACCACAAGCCCCTGGCTTGCTGCACACTGCAAAGAGGGGACAGATAGGCATGGGGTCAAAGGTCTGACTGACAAGGAGACAGAATGATCACTGCTTTTTAAAAGTCTGACGGCACTGGGATGGGAAGTAAGGACATTACGTAGTTGGCTTTGAAAACTGTATTCATTTAACTAAGATTTTAAGTATATACAAGCAAGAGTGCTGTATCTTGAGGGAGAGAGAGATTATTAATGCTGTCCTTCCTTGCGCATTTAAGCTTTTTTCCATACAATCTCTATAACGGATTTCTTTTTCAGATTGCTGGCTCACAAAACCGTGTGTATCTCACAGCAGATAACTTGGTACTGAACCTGCAGGATGAGGGCTTTACCAGGTAAGAGGACAGGTGGCTGCTGGGGGGCAATTTACCCACACCTTCCTTGTGAAACTAGTCTTTTTTCAGGAGCTCTCTCAGGATCTTTCCTCTGAGATCCTGATGCAAGAGAACACAATTAAGTAGAGTGCACTCTTGCTTACTGCAGAAATAAATTATTTTTTTCTCAATCCAATGATTTTCTCTTTTGTTTTCTCTTTCCTCTCCACCCCACTACAACATCTCCTGGCACAGAGGAAGGTAGGACGCTCAACTTTATTTTGTTAGTATTTGGAACAAGGACATTGATGTGTTGCTTTTCGGCCTGGGTTTTGCTTTTCTTGGGCATTTCTGGCTACCAGTTCATTCTGTTTGTACCTCAGTTCCCATTTGTGATATGAAGTTTGAAGCCTTTCCTTGCAGGGGCCATACAAACATCTACGTCAAGTGGGAGATGTGCGTGTGTCTTGGAACCCTGCATAGGGAAGACAGGAATAATAATCTGAGGACTGTCCTCTAATCTGTCCCACCTGTATTGGACATCCTGCTGTTAAAACAGAGGGCTCTTTGGAGACACTTAGATGGTTGTAGTATATTGTGTTGATTTGGTGTAATGATCTCTTGAAAAGATGTTCTCGTCACTCTCCAAAAGCTTTCCAGTCCATGTTAGAAAACCTCATTCTCCGCTTTCAGAGCCAGACAGAATTTTATGGTTTTAGCCTCATTTGTCCAGTGTTAACTGGACAGAGACAGAGCAGAGCCAGTTGACTTAGGCTAAAAGCTTAGAATCAAGAAAAGAAACCAGAGCTGGTTTATTTTCTATGCAATCTCTGATCACCTTTGCGCCTGTTTGGCCAGATTCTACCTTATTTGTCCCAGCGGGCTTAAGGGGGTTCGAAAAAAGGTCTTCAGAGGACTTGAAGTCCACATTGTTGGAGTGTGACACTTCCTGCTCCCAAGTCAGTAGTAAGGATCTGGCTCAGCTTTGCCTGTGCTTTCTGGGCTGATTACTCACTTCTGTCTCCCTCGCAGTGACAGTCTTCTACTCAAACAAGGGAAGAAATGAAAGAACTGAAGCCTTCGAGAACCGCCAGCGCTGACCAGCAGAAGATGGGAGTGAGGAGCTTGGAATTTCCTGCACATTAGCTTTGTTTGACCTCACTTTGAAATTGTTACACCTGTAACCAGATTTGGTTTCCATGCCCCGGCTCCATCTATAGTGACCCAGGTGTAGGATTGGGTTCTACCACATCACAGCTATAATTCCTTCTGCACCTCACCAGTTAAATCTGGGGAGGGAGCAAGGGGACTTAGTGATAAAACTAACCTACATGGATGTAGTAATTCATCTCTGATCTTCATTAATCTTAGATATCTGTAAGGTAAAATCAGACCTGTTTTTTATTTTTGGCCAAGTGAGGGAGTTCTGCTGCCATCAGCACAAAACCTTTTTGTAATAAATTTGGATCCCAATACTGAATTCAGGAAAATACCATTCATTGGGTGCCTATCAACTGCTGGAATATTTATCACTGTGTGCTCAGTGATTCTTTCAAACATTTGTAAAAATTAAAAATCTCAAAATTTATACTGTGTGTGGTGCCTAAAAAAGAGGTTATTTTGCACAGGGGAAAGGGGAGCTGAGCTGTTATTTGATTGCAAGCAGTGCAAAAGACTTGGGTCAGCATTCAAACAAGTACACCTTTATTTACAAACAGAAGATAAAATGAATGTCACACCAAAGTCTGGCATATTTACAGCATTCAATTGTAGGATGGAAAAGAAAAGGTTATTGTGTAGAGGGACAGGATAAAGAAAAGGGCAAGTTTCCTGTTGAACAGCAGAGGAGCTAAGCTCAAATAGGCCAGAAATTAAAGATTTTAAAAGATGATTTCTCAGGGAATGCTAAACAGGCTAAACTCAAAGAAGCAGAGAGATGTAGTTCCTGTAAAGCTCTTCCTTAACTCCTCAAAAAGAGGAACTGCTGAAGCAGCAGCGAGTTTAGGTGCCAGTGCACGAGGATCAAGGGAAAGAAGTGGTGTGATTTTTCCTGTTAATGAATGATGAAGGGCAGTGGGAGTTGTCACAGGTTTGTACAGGCAAGGGACGCTGAAGTCGGTCAGCTAGCTAGAAAGCAGCCTGGTTCAGAGTTCTGAAAGATGGCGTGGAAGAGATGAGGAAGGCCTACTGTCCAAGAGACTGAAATGTGAGACTGGCCAGCATGGATGTGAGCTCCCATCCTGCACTCCATGTTGAAACTCCCTTGGGGCTACCTGCAATCTGTGCTTATTTCTTCTTCAGTGAGCTTTTCAGTTTCTTCTCCGAGGACAACTGTTTCCGTACCTTCTCTTCCTTTTTACCCAAATTTTCATAAATTGTCTCCTTCTGCCTGGAAGACCAGGAAAAAACAGGAAAAAGTGAGCAGAAGGAAAAGCCTAGCCAAGCCAGCAGGTAGAAAGAGCACTGCCAGAAGCAAGCATAGATTAGCCTCAGGCTTATGCCAGCACTTACTTGGAGGATTTTCGTGAGACCTTGGCATGCAAATTCTTCGCTGCAGGGGGGTAGGTAATGTTCCCATACTCTGACTCACTTTGCTTGTTTTTCTGAGACTACAGGGGAGAAAATTCAAGCTGAGAAGAATGGGGTCTGGGAGAAGCATAATGAGAGGAGGCATAATGGAAGAATCGGGGCTGTTTAATCGTGCCTGTATCATGCTAGGATCTCAGTAGAGGTTGGTGGATTGTTAAGTTCGCATGCCCTGTGCACTGCCCACAGGTGGTGCAGAGGTGAGCAGCAGGAAAATGCGTGCATCCTTGTACAGAAGGGACTAGAAAGGCAACACATTTCTGGAGGCACCAACAAACCTCCCTGTCATGCGCTGGCTAAACAGTGAAACAGCAGCAGGTAGTGAATGTTGTCAGAGGCTAAAAAGAGAAAGCACGCCAGTATCAGCATGCAAGTAAGAGAAAACCCTTTTGACAGAGGTTTGGGAGACAACTACAAAACCAGGATGGGAAAGACAAAGGTAGAGAGCAAAATCTGCTTGTTTTAGATTCGGCTTGTAACTAAACCACACTTAGGGAAGTTGTATAGAATGTAGTTGAAATTGCTGTTTAGTGGTTAGAGGAGGGTGGTACTTGAGCTGCTGCTGTTGTCCCCTGAATTTTATAGCGTTGGGGAGAAGTCCCAAATCTTGGTTCATTGTCAGAGTCTACATAGGTTCCAAAGCTAACTTAACATTTAGGAAATAGAGCACCTGCACTCAGGGCTGACACTACACACAGCTTCAATTCCCAGGATAGGAAAGCCCATTTTCTCACCTGGATAACCTCCAGCTTTTTCTTTGTTGTCTCTATGAACTGGCAGATGGCCATGTAGATGAACTTGTACTGGGCTTCCGTCTGCACCATCCCTGAGCGTTGGGCCCTTACCATCTGGATGGTCTTCTGGATGTCAATGTCACAGTCTAGCCCTACAAAGGGGTACCAGAAAAGCTTTGGATGTATTTGCTGACCCCTCTCTCCCACTTCTCTGCCAAAAGCAGTCACAGTGGAGCTCATTCAAGAAGTTTTCACCTCCCTTCACCCCTACCCCTGCAAGGACCTCCCATCCCTTCTTCCTGCTAAGGATCTTTCAAGCCTGGCCCTGGAGGAAGAGCTCAGGCTCAGGGAAGGTGAAAGTCACAGTAGGTGGGTACAGTTCAGAGAATCAGCAGCTGCCATAGACCAAGGATAGCACAACTTTATCATGGCTGTGGCAGGCTCTCCTCCACTGAGACCTTCTGCTGCTGGCATTAAGCCTTATTGCGTGGGCCAGTTTACTTCAAGACACAATGAGGTCCTCTTACCCTTGGTGGAGATTGTTTCCACTATCATATCAATGACGATGATAGTCCCAGTGCGGCCAATCCCAGCACTGCAGGGAGAGGACAAGCAGAGATCAGAGCTGCCTGCATAGTTACACCTACATCCACCCAGCCATCGTGGTCCTGAAACAGTATGCAGCTGCTTCTGGGGAAGGATGCAGCACTGCAGCAGCTGTTCATCACTGCCACAAAATAATCAAGGATTCAACAGGCAGTAGAGTTTGGTTTGGGGACATCAAAAAGGAGTAAGAATTGCCAATGGGTTCAAGTCCTAAGGAACAGCTAGTGCAGCAGGACAAAGACTTTGCACCTTGCCCTATGAAAGAGATGGAGAGTGATTTAAACCTCAGCCTTTGTACCAACCTGCAATGCACCAGAATAGGCCCCGCATCTGGAATGCTCTCCTGCTTCTGGTTTATTTGATCGAGGAAACTCAGCACTCCTCCAGGCTCACTGGGAACACCATGATCAGGCCAGCTCAGGTACTGGTACTGCCAGATCTCACGCGCAGCCTCACTCTGAGAATAAAAACATCTCACTGGTAAAACTGCAACCCAGTCCCATCCCTGGCCACTGTCCTGGGGAGAGCTGGCTCTTAAGCCAAAGACTTTAATAGCGCTCCTTGGTGATGTCACCAGTGGTCCCAGCCCAAAACAGATGGAACAGTGCAACCACAGCACCCAGTAGTTCCCAGCCTTAAACATACAGTGACTGTTAGACCCACGGGCTCCAGAACAGTCCCCGACCAAGCACACTCACATCATTTATTGGACACACACAGAGATGCCGGAGTTTGTATTCCAATGCGTCGTGCTCCCCAACATTCTCCACGAGGTAAGGACCATATTCTTTTGTGCTGCCTGCCTCTGGCCAGTAGGGCACACATTTATTCTGCGTGGACAAGAGGTAAAGTGGAGACAGGCAGAAGGCAAGAGGGAGAAAGAAAACAGCTATGACTGAAGGGGGAAAAGAGGGCAGTTTCAAGACACCTTCTTACCCGTCCTTTTTCTACCTCCCGTGTGGTCATAACAATAATATGTGTGTTCTCCTGCCACACCATTTGCCAGAAGTCATTGACAGTGGTATCCAGACAACCCTGGCTGGCGATGTAGGTCTTGGGGCACTCATCTGGACTGATCAGATTGTTCTGTGGAAAGGGAAGGATCAAGGATGCTGCAGGAACTGGCAGTCCTCTCTCCCACTTAGGGCATACAGCCATCTTTCAAAAATCTCACCTTTACATAGTTGGCATTGATATAGTCAGATCCAGGGATATTTGGGTCCCTTCCTTGGAGGATGACTCTAGAGTGATCAACTAGGTGCACAGTCAAGAATAAACAGAGCAGTGAGACACACTGTGCCCAGCCACACAAACCTCCCTCGCTGACTCTGCCACCTCATTCATGTTACTCAGTGTACACAGCATGCCCCACATTTTCACTACTTCTTCTCTGGGGTCAGAGCAATTTTAGTGTGTGCTTCCAGTTCCCGCTTCCCATGACAGATGGTCCCATAAGCTAGTCTAATGCTTTCCTCCCTCCTTCCCTCCTTCAGGAGCATGAAAAGGCTGTGACCTTTTATCAGCTTTTAAATCTTCTAGGCTGCAGAATTTTTAATCCAATCTGGAGGACAGAACTGGCCGAGGCAGGGCCAGAGATAACTGGGACACCTCTTCATTGCCTGTCTCCATCTTTTTGCTCTTTTTACAGTGGAGGAGATAGACTCACAAGGCAAGATGTTCTTATATCTATTCTTGCTCTTGTTTTCAGGTCTCTGGCCTTCATGACGGTCAAACAGTTGTTTGGCTTCCTGTTTTTGCAGGCTCTGAAAGCAGGAAAAAGTTACAGCAAGATCACAATAACAGAGTAGGTGGTCAGAGGAGCAGTGGTAACTCTAGTGATACGTGGGCATGCTTGTCGAGGAGTAGAGATGTAAAAAGTTAACCTAGCTTGAAAAGTCCAAGGTTCATGCTCTTACTGTTTTAGCAACTAGTTCTATCCATGAAAAAACTACATTTCTACCTCACTGGGTTCTTAAAGATAAATTAACTTAAAGATAATGCTTACTCCTGAGATCTAAACAGATATTTCAGAGACAAATTGATATTAATTTACAAGATTGCCTGAGAAACTTCCGAAAAGAAATCAGGGATGGATAATTAAATG